TGCCACCACCAGCACTATCACCACCATTAAAACACTGCCACCACCAGCAACATCTCCAGCACCATTACCACCACCACCTTTACCACCATCCCTACCAGCAGCACCGTCACCACCACCTCCACCACCAGCACCACCATCAGCATCATCAACACCACCTGCACCACCACCACCACCAATACCATCACCAGCACTATCACCACCTCCACCTCCAGCACCACCTCTATCACCATCACAAACACTTCCACCACCGCCGCCACCATTACCACTACTGACACCAGCAGCACCAGCACCACCACCTCCAAAATCCAACACCATTACCACCACTGCACCACCTCCACCCCCAGCACCACCTCTACCACCAGCACTATCACCATCATATCCACAACAACCACCACCTCCACCTCCACCACCAGCACTATCACCACCACGAGCATCACCAGCAGCACCAGCTCCACCTGCACTACCACCACCACCACTGCCACTACCTCCACCTCTACCACCGGCACCGTCACCACCACCTCCACCACCACCACCGCCACCACCACCAGCACTATCACCACCTTCACCACCACCACCGCTACCACCACCAGCACTATCACCACCTCTACCACCAGCACCAGCACAACCACCATCACTACACCACCACCACATCCATCACCATCACCAGCACCACCTCCACCAACAGCACTATCACCACCATCCCACCACTACCACCAGCACCAGCACCATTACCACCACCTCTACCACCACCACTAGCACCACCACCACCACCACTACCTCCACCACCATTACCACAACTGCCACCACCAGCACCATTACCACCACCACCACCTATACCACCTCCACCACCTCTACCAGCACCACCTCCACCACCTGCACCACCACCTCTACCACCATCACCACTACCACCACCGTCACTACACCACCACCGCCATTAAAACACTGCCACCACCAGCACTGTCTCCACCACCACCACCACTGCACCACCTCCACCACCACCGCCTCCACCACCTGCACCACCCACCACCACCACCTCTACTATCACAAACACTGCCACCACCAGCACCATCACCACCACCTCCAACACCCCTTCCACCACCACCATCACACCACCACCACCAGCATCAGCACCTCCACAACCAGCACCATCACCTGCACTACCAACACCACCACTATTACCACTACTAGCGTTATTACCACCAACACCACCACAACCACCACCGCCATCACCACAACCACCACTACTAGCACTTCCACTACCACTTCCACCACCAGCACTATCACCACAAGCACCATCATCACCACCTCCTTCACCATGACCACCACCAGCACCACCACCTCCACAACCAGCACGATCACCACCAACATCAACACCACCACTATTACCACCAGCACCACCTCCACCAACAGCACCATCACCACCTTCACATACACCTCCATCACCATCATCACCACCACCACCGTCAGCACACCTGCACTACGACCATCAACACCATCACCACCGCCACCACCACTACCACCTCCACCACCAACACCATGACTATTACTAACAAAACCATCACCACCTTCACCACCAGCACCATAACCACCACCTCCACCACCACCACCTCCACTAGCACCATCACCACCAACACCACCACCTGCACCATAGCCTCCACCACCACCATCACCACCACCAGCCCCATCTCCTTTAGCACCTCCACCACCAGCACCACAACCACTCCCACCACCACCACCATTAAAACACTGCCACCACCAGCACCCGTTACCACCACCTCCTCCACCAGCACCAGCACCACCACCTCCACAAACAGGACCAGCGCCACCTCCACATCCACCTCCACCACCATAATCAGCACCTCCGCCAGCGCCACCAACAGCACCAGCAATAACACCACAACTCCACCACCACCACGTTCCACCAGCACCACCAGCAACCATCATAACCACCAGCACACCATCACCTCACCAAAGCAGCAGCAACCACCACATCCAGCACCATCCGCCACCACCCACCATCACCACCAGCACCACACAACACCACTCCATAACCACCAGCGCCCCACAACCTCCACTCCAGTCCAGCTCACCAGCCCATCCACAAACACCCACCAAACCATAGCCACCACCTCCAGACCACCAGCTGCATCATCAACCAGCGCCATCTCACCACTAGCGACCATCCACCACAAGCATACGCACCACAACCTCCACCTCCACCACCATCACCCGACCACCTCCACCACCATCCACAAATAAGAACCTCAACTCAGCACCACAACACAAACCAAATACCACCACCTCCACCAACACATCTACCGCGACCACCTCCACCACCATCTCCATCACCAACTCCACCTTACTAGCACCACCACAACCTCCAGGCACCCACCACCTCCCAACCACTCCCACCAACACTCGACAAGCAGCACCACCACCTCCACCACCATCTCACCACATCACCAAACTCCACCAAACTAGCTCCCACCCACCACCCACTACCACCACAACACCACCACCTCCAATCAATCAAAAACTTCCACCACTAAGCAACACCACAACCTCCAACACCAACCACCATTCTCCAATCACCAAACTCCTACCCACTAGCACCACCACAAGCCTCCAGCACCACCCCCATCTCCATCACCAACTCCACCATAGCACCACACACAACCAACACCACACCATCTCCATCACCCAACTCCACCCAAGCATCCACCACAAGCACCACCATCACCATCAACCAAACTCCACCACTAACAGCACCACAACCTCCAGCACCCACCTGACCATCACCAAACTCTCCACCACTAGCACCACTTTACACACCACCCAAACCTCATCACCATCATCACCCACCATCCGACACCAACTAGCACCACCACAACCATACCACACTCGACCACACAATCCACCACCATTTTTCCATCACCAAACTCCACCACTTAGCACCACCACACCTCCCCAGGCACTCAACCATTTCCATCAACCAACTCCACACTAGCACCACACTCACAAACCATCTCCACCACACCCACGAAGCAGAGAACAAAGGTCACCATGAAGCAGAGAACAGCGATTTCTTCTGTTCACCCTGCAGAGATAGAAATGTACACCCCAACCCGAACAGTATTACTAGCTGTTATATACCTCAAAATGTATTGAATCTGCATAGCCGTAGTTCTGTGAGAGAGGGACGGAAAATGGTATAAGATATACACATAAGGGAACTGGTTTCCTGCCAGTAGATTAGGGAGGTAGATGGTAGAATGGAAAGGATGAAGAAGCAGATATAAGGGACTTTTGTAATGTCTAGGGTTATTTCATTTAGGAAGTTTTGTTATGATAAGGATAATAATATTGATATCATTATTATTGTTATTGTTATTATCATTATTATAGTTATTATAGATATTGTTTTTATTATAATAATCACTGTTATTATTATTATTATTGTTAGTTTTTTTAGCAACATCATTATTATCATTATGATAATCTTAGTACTGTTTTTATTATTAGTTTTCTTATTTTTAAATGATAGATCAAAGTTACAATAATCATTTTATATTATTATTGTTCCTATTATAATCATTATTATTGCTGGATTCATGGGTATGAAAGTACACATAGGTGCAAGCACAAGTACAATCACACATGTAATATACAGAAGAACTGAACCCTTGTAAGTAGGTAGTAGGTTGGTAAATAGATGGGATTTGAATATGTGAACATTTTAATGTGATTTAAGGACAAGTGAGGGAATGACTGGTCGCCAGCAAATGAACCGCTGAACAAAGGAATAAGAAGACAGAGAAGATCATGAAAATCCTGGAGGGACAGGGAACGGACAGACATTGGGAGTAAATGGACAGATAAGGGGAATGGATTGCAATGAAGCTCTCGCTTTCCTCTTTCCCTTTCTTTCCAACTCCTCTTCCTACACTTCCTCAGTTTCCTTCCCCACCTTTCCCACTCCCCTTCCTTAACTTCCACGACTTTGCCTTCTCCCCCTGTTGCTTCGCCTTTTCCTTCTATCCCATTGTCTTCTCCTCCTTCCCTTGCCTCACCCGTGGTCCGTCCTCCAAAGAGTGAAGAAGGCGCTGCTGCAGTCCAGTGCCATCTTGGAGGCCTTTGGCAATGCCGAGACCAACCGCAGTGACAACTCCTCCCGCTTTGGCAAGTACATGGACACCAAACCGC